TTTGGGGCTGCCTTGAATCTGTCTTCATACTTCATGTACAAATAATGCATGCTTGATGTAGCTACAAGTCATTTCATGCGCTTAATCTTGCATTTGGGGACTATTTCATGCATCGGGTGCTATATTGTCATGATTCGGGACTGTTTTGGGTCATATTTTAGTGCTAAAATTTGCATTCTTGTATGCCATATTCCATGCCTTGCCATGTCTTGTTAGAGCGGCATACGTGCCTTAGGTTCAGTCCTCGGTTTGCGTGCACGCGTGCACGCATCTCGAGTGTCTCATTTTCATCTGATGGCCTCTTATGTGAGTGTGGCTGAGGTCCACTTGTGTTAGTGTAAGTCCATTTATGCATTGTGTATACCATTTTATTTCATAGCATTGTGTATGCTAGGTTGTATGTTAGCGCATTGTGTATGCCATGTTACCTCGTGCATTGTGTATGCCATTTTATTTCATAGCATTACGTATGCTAGGTTGTATGTTAGTGCATTGTGTATGCCATGTTACGTCGTGCATTGTGTATGCCATTTTATTTCATAGCATTGCGTATGCTAGGTTGTATGTTAGCGCATTGTGTATGCCATGTTACCTCATGCATTGTGTATGCCATTTCATTTCATAGCATTGCGTATGCTAGGTTGTATGTTAGCGCATTGTGTATGCCATTTCATAGCATTGTACATGCTAGGTTGTATATTAGTTGCATTCATGCATGTCATGCATATTGCATTGTGTTTGGGATAGGAATTAGCCCAGGCACGGGAAACGAGGTACGTTTCGTACTCCGAGTGACGGAACGTGTCTCAATTCCCAATCGCCGACACTCCGGATTATCCATGATGGAGTCTAGGTTTTGTTTTGTTTTTATTTGCATTCATTCTATATTGAGTTGCACAATTCGACTCCTCGGTCATCATGCATCGATATGCGTGATTGTTGGCACGAGGATCGAGACATGCATACATTTGTGAAAATACATTGCTATGCCCCTTTCCTGCTCTCTGTTGCAGCAAATCAAGAATTAGCAACCTTCCGGAGCTTGGCGCGCTTGCCAAGAGTAATTGTAAAACAGAGGCTAATTGGGGCATCCCAGTGGATTTCCGCGCAAGGCAGCCCAGACATGCATCATCCATCATCTGAAAAAGAGTCAAGGCAGTCCCTGGCTTGCATGCCAGTTTATTATTTTTCTTAGTTAATTTGTAAATTAATTAGGAATTTGTTTATATTCGGACTGTATTATTTGGACTATATTATTTGGACTGTACTATTTATTCGGACCCTCTGCGCGAGGGCACAACTGTAATAAGTGTGCGTGTGTGTGATGTATGTCTTCCAACCCCACATCTTTCTCCCTTTTATTTACCAGCTTATGATGGTTAGATTAGGGCATATTTCAATTAGCATACAGTATGATAGCATGTTTGCATTCATTCATCTGTCTTGCATGCACCGGGCTCGGCGCATCATACTACTGCATTGTATTTCAATTTCAAAAGTTGAATACTTGTTAGCTGTAGTATTTCCATATGCCATGTCTAGAATAGCCGAGCCTACTATAGTTGCACTTTTGCATGTGTTGCATTAGACATTTCTGTATAATTAGGATCATGCATGGATTTCTAATTAGCTTCTTTTTTTGGCTTGGAGTACTCGTAAGTTTTTATGCTTTAGCATCCTTGCATGCGTGTAAGTGACTGCCATGAATAGCATGCTTACCATGAGGCTATGTGCTTATGTGATATAACTGCCTGAATGCTGTGGGTGAGGTTGGGTTATTTGAATTGAACAATTCATTAAATGTGTGTTTTATGCCCACTAGATAGTGGCAAAATCATGTTTTTCTAAGCCCACCAAGGGTGGCAAATCCACGTCTTAGCCTACTTGCGGTAGCACCATCAAACCATTTTCAAACAAACAAACATGAAAGTTTTGTTCCAATTCAGGTATCCAAGTCTATACTTGTATGCTGTACGCATCACATAGTAAATCTAGGTTAATAACCGGAATAAGAACGCATAATGCTTTCAAAAATAGATATCATGGTTAGTAGAGGCCGATCTTTGGTCGGGCGAGCGGGGGGCTCACGAAGTGACCTTCCCCAATCGTACCCAAGTTCCCGAGCCGAGGCAACTTTGGTGATGACGGACACGTGGCCTTAGGCAACGAGTCAGGGTTTCCTAAATTTCTCAAAATAAAATATTTAGGTGGCGACTCTGTATCTGGCAAAGCAGTCCATGTTTGGCACTTTTTTTCTAAAAATCTATTTTCTCAAAATGATTTGCCGGATTTGGACTCTTTGGTTCAGATTAAGAACCGTGACATTTGAGAGTCTTGAGCTGTAGTGAACCCCAAATGAACGGAACGGGAGCTCGTCCCTCCCGGTGCGTTCGGGGACGTCTACACTGTGGCTTGCTTCTTTGAGCTTCATGTGATTACGCCTGATCCAAGAGTAAAAACATTTGTTGAAATACTCCGCCTATCATCCAAAGTACTTTCCCAATCGCTGTCCGTGAACCTACATAATTTGAAATTGAAAACTTTTGAGTACCAAATCCCATAATCCATAGTTCCAGTGATTTAACGCAAGACCCGCTTTGCTGCTCCAAAATGAAGCTTTGAAGGATGTTGCATAAACTTGGAAATCATACCAACAAAAAATGCAATATCGGGTCGAGTGTGGGTTAGATAAATTAAACCACCAACCAAGCTTCTAAACCTACTAGCATCAGCCATTTCTGCCCCATCTTCACACTGTAATTTTTTATTGATAGTCATGGGTGTAGTTACTGGTTTACAATTAAGCATGCCAAATTTATTAAGAAGATCCTTGGCATATTTTCTTTGGGAAATAAAAATCCCATCTTCTACTTGTTGGACCTCAAGGTCAAGAAAATAATGCAGCAAACCCATATCAGACATTTCAAACTCATGCATCATACGTGATTTAAACTCAGCCACAAGAGAACTAGAGGAGCTTGTATAAATTATATCATCAACATAAAGACAATTAATGATGAAATCATTTTTACCTTCCTTCTTCACGTAGAGAGTGGGCTCATTCTCACTTCTCAAGAATCCATTTTGCTGAAAGTATCCATCAATTTTGCTATACCATGCCCGAGGAGCCTGCTTTAATCCGTACAACGCCTTTCTCAACTTGTACACCTTTGTCTCTTTGCCTTCAATCATGAAACCTTCTGGTTGAGTTACATAAACTTCCTCTTGTAGATCTCCATTTAAAAATGTTGACTTCACATCAAGTTGATAAATAGGCCTGTACAATGCTAAAATAATTCTTACAGTTTCAAACCGAGCTACTGGAGAAAAAGTTTCTTCGAAATCAATGCCATGTTGTTGTGTGTATCCCTTCGCCACAAGCCAAGCTTTGTGCTTTTGTATACTTCCATCTGCACCAAGTTTTGTCTTAAATATCCACTTCAAACCAATTTCATTTTTGCCTTTCGGCAAGTCCATCATCTCTCATGTTCTGTTCTTTTCAATTGCTGTCAATTTTTCCACCATCGCTCTTTGCCATTCTTCTTTTGTAGCTGCTTCGCCATAAGTCATAGGATCTGAGACAGCAAGAGCAAATTGGCAAGACTCATAAATGTCTCTCAAGGATCTAAACTTTCTGGGTGGTGTTTCATCCGAAGACTCTTCAAGAGTGGACGAAGAGTCTCTCCTTGGTGAACTTGGTGACGCCATAGAGGAACCGGATGAACTTGTAGGAATTGGCACTTGACTTTCATTTGGAGAGATTCCAATGGACATAGGAACCTGTTGTTTCATTTTCTCATAACTTACACGCCAATCCCAACTTGCATTTTCATCAAATACTACATCCCTTCTAATTAAAAACTTGCCACTAAGAGGGTTATATAATCTATATGCTTTGGATTGTGTACAGTAACCAATGAAAATACATTTTTTAGATTTTTCATCAAGTTTATGACGAAATTGAGAATTTACCAAAGCATAAGCAATACACCCAAAAACTTGACTTACAAATGGTTTTGTGCCATGCCAAGCTTCAACCGGAGTTCGATTCATGACTGCCCTTGTGGGAGAAAGATTCAATAAATAAACTGATGTTGCCACAGCTTCAGCCCAAAATTCGTTCGAAAGTCCCTTTGCTTATAACATGCTTCTTGCCATCTCCACAACAGTTTGATTCTTCCGCTCGGCGACAGCATTTTGCTCTAGAGTGTAAGGAGTTGTCAACTCCCTTTGAATGCCATTTTCTACATAAAAAAGATCAAAATCTTTGGATAAAAATTCTCCATCTCTATCAGTGCGAAGAACTTTGATGCGAAATCCACTTTGCTTTTCAACTTTAGCTTTAAAGTGTCTAAATTTCTCAAAGGCTTTAGATTTGTTTTCCAAAAAATAAACCCAACTCATGCGACTATAATCATCAATAAATAGCAAGAAATAACGACTTCCACCAAAAGATTTAGTTTGCATAGGTCCACATAAATGAGCATGAATTAATTCGAAACACGTTGAAGCTCTCTAGGCCTTTCCAACTGGAAATGACTTTCTAGTTTGTTTCCCATAGATGCACCCTTCACATAATTCAATGGAACCAATTTTTGATAGTCCAAAAACCATACCTTTTTCTTTTAGCAATTTCAGACCCTTGATGTTGAGATGCCCGTATCGCAAATGTCATAGCTTCGAGTCATCTTTTCCACTAGCAGCAAAGACAAAATTCTCCATGCTTGAAACTTCCAATGGGAACATTTTGTTTTGAGTCATGTTGATATTGATCAATGTATGGCCTAAGTGCTTGTCTCTAATAACACATGCATCATATCAAATGAGATGGAATATCCAGCAGCCATTAATTGCCCAACACTTAGCAAATTATATCCCAAATCAGGTACAAATTGAACATTATGCAAGAGCTTTATGTTACCATGGGTAGTTTTAATGCTCACTGTACCTTTTCCTTCAACTTGCATTTCTTTGGCATTTCCAAGCTACACCTTCAACTTCTACGTCTCATCAAGCTCTTTGAACAAGGATTTCATCCCTGTCATATGATTCGAATAGCCGCTGTCTACGAACCACACATCGCTTGACATATTGTTAGGATCAAAATGAGTCATAAAATGCTTACTACTTTCTTCTCCATTTTCGGTTGCATAATTCACTTGCTGATCTTTGTACCAACAATCAGCTTTTATATTACCATACCTCTTACAATGATAGCATTGAGCACCATTCTTGTTGTTTCTTTGCTCACCGGACTGCCGTTGCCAGTCGAAACGACCTCTGCCTCTTCCGTTACCACGACCACGACCACGACCACGAAATCCTCCTCTTCCACGACCTCTGCTTGTCAAACTGTCACCTTCTACAGCTTTGGTGACTATGTCCTTCACTTGAAATGCCTTTTCTTCATTCTTTGCAAGTGATCGATTAATTCTTGTCTCATGTGCTTGCAAGGACCCCATCAGTTCATCAAAGGAAAAAACTGACAAATCCTTAGATTCTTCTATGGTAGCAACAACGTGATCAAACTTTAGAGTCAAGCTTCTCAATACCTTTGCAACAACCGTTTCATCAGAAATCTTCTCGCCGTACGATCGCATTTGACTAATAATTGTCATGACCCGAGACAAAAAATCAGCAATTGATTCTCCATTCTTCATGTACAAGGTTTCAAAGTCACGCCGTAGTGATTGCAATTTCACCACGATAAATTTGGAGTCACCTTGAAACTCTTTCTGCAGAGTTGACCAAGCTTGCTTCGATGTGGTTGCCGCTGCAATTTGTGAGAAGATGTTGTCATGAACAGCCTGCAGAATAATCACCAACGCCTTCAAATCTTTCTTCGTATTCTTCTTCAAGCTTGTTTCTTCATCAGGATATGTGTAGCCTTGTTCTACCAAATCCCAAAGATCTTGAGATTTGAATAGGGTCATCATTCGGATACTCCAGAATCCATAGCCTTCTCCCTTAAAGACAGGGATGAGTGGTTGTGCAGCACTCATTGCATTGCTGTTACTGGCCATTGGTTTTTCCTCTCATGTGTTTTACTCAACTCACGTGTTTACCCCCTCTCTCACTCTCTCAACCTGGCTCTAATACCAAATTTGTAGGAGATAAAAATGAATAACACTGAAAACAGAGGCAAAAACCAAGAAAGCAGAGGCAAAGAAATATATAAAATCTAAACTGTTGGGTCCTCTTATTCAAGTTAAAAATACTGAAGCAAATGTGCCTATATATAGGCTTACAAACTAAGCTACCAGAACAGAATTTTATGTACTACTAAGGCACTAACTTAGACCACTACAGCCACTAGCTTAATATCAGCAACAACTACCCAATTGACTAAACAAACTTAGAAAAATACGGACACTACTAGCAACCTGAAACGACCAAGTCAGACTTTGAATCATTCTACAACAACTTTTCTACCACGTCCAGGTATGGGCCATCTCATCCCTTCCATTGAATTCGCCAAGCAACTCGTCCACCACCACCACTTCTCCGCTACCATCCTCATCCCCTCCGCCGCACCACCTACCACAGCCCAAAAGAAAGTCCTCCAAACACTCCCCAAAACCATCCACTACATCTTCCTCCCACCTGTTCAATTACACAATGAACCCCTTAGTGCTGCTTTCCAAATCTTCCTCACTGTCACTCTTTCTCTTCCCTCTATCAAACACACTTTTGCTTCATTATCCACAATTACCCGGTTGGTTTCTCTCATCGTCGATCAATTCGGAATCGACGCCATCGATGTAGCCAAAGAGTTCGGCATCTCGCCGTACTTGTTTTTCTCTTCTTCAGCCATGTCATTGTTGTTTTGCCTTCATTTGCCGAAGATCGATGAGACAGTTACGGGCGAGTATAGAGACCTACTTGAACCGATACAATTCCCTGGTTGTGTACCGGTTCACGGTAGAGATCTCTCGGAGCTGTTTCAAGACCGGTCAAACAAAGCATACAAGGGACTCATTGACAGTTTTAAGCGGTATGGTAGAGCCGAAGGCATAATTGTGAATAGCTTCGTGGACATGGGAGAGGTAGCTATAAAAGCTTTGTTTGTGAACGAACTGGGCAAGCCGCCAATTTATTCGGTCAGACCACTTATCTGAATCGGTTTGAGTGATGGGTCGGAATAGCCAGAGTGTTTGCAATGGTTGGATGATCAACCAAGTGGGTCAGTAGTATTTGTGTCATCCGGAAGTGGTGGGACTCTCTCTCATGACTAGCTCACTAATTTAGCATTGGGTTTGGAATTGAGTGGCCAAAGATTTTTATGGGTTATGAGAAACCCTAGTGACAATGCTAGTGCTGTATTTTTCAATGCACATAACCAAAATGACCCTTTTAGCTTCTTGCCCGAAGGGTTCTTGGAGAGGACACAAGGCCGAGGCCTAGTGGTGCCGTCGTGGGCACTGCAAATAGTGGTGTTAAGCCACCGTGCCACAGGTGGATTTTTGACCCACTGCGGATGGAACTCGACTCTAGAGAGCATTGCCCACGGTTTGCCTCTAATCGCTTGGCCACTCTTCGCAGAGCAAAAGATGAACGCGGTGATGCTAACAGAGGGTTTGAAGGTAGCATTGAGACCAAAATGTCATGAATCAAGGCTGGTGGGACGGGAAGAGATTGCAGAAGTTGTGAAAAGTCTTATGGAAGGAGAAGATGGGAAGGAAGTTCACCAGAGAATGGGGGGACTCAGGGATGCTGCTGCGAAGGTCTTGAGTGATGAAGGATCTTCTGCAAAATCACTATCTGATTTGGCTTTCAAGTTGAAAAATCAATTGAAAATTTGACTTCAAATCAATTATTTTATTTATTTATATATTTATTTTTTAAAGCTCGGCTCATTTTATTTTGTTCTATTCTGTTTTTCTTATTTGTCTTAATTTTCAGTTTTTTAATCTGTTGGCAATCCCATATGATTTGTATTATGTAATATAGTTAGTGTTGGAAAAGTTACCATGTTGAGTGGGTCACCTTAGAAGTAATACCTCTCCCGCAGGTCCAATCCTTCAATCCTAATAGTATTACCTCTAGGTTTATTCAATCCTAATAAATAAATAAATGATTAAGTTTACTTTCTAATAGTATATTTTTAAAAAAAATATCAATTGTCGTTATTAATCAATTTAAAATAACAAAACAAATAGTAAATTTATATTATTTTATTTTTTAATTTTTAAAATGAATTAATATTTTGAAGTAATAAAAAATAAAATAAGATATTAATATTTTAGAATAAAGGACGTATTGTAATTGAGAGTGGAGAATGTGAGAGAACGGGTAGGCGGACGACGTGATGGTCGTCGGTTATGGTGGTGGCTGTGCTACGAGAGTCAAGAATGTAGGAGGAGGTAAATTTACAAAATTATCCTTCTGTTATTGTATCCAAATGGAGTTGGACTGATGGATAGAATTGGTAAAAGATAAAAGTTTGGGTTTACATTAAAACAATTAAAAATTTTGGATTTAATTTGTTAGGTGACTTAAACTTTAGGATTTTTTTTTTTCTCCAAATAAAAAGGTACTTAAAATTGAGACTCCCACGGATTTTTCTCTCTTTGACTGAGCCTCCTGACACTGTGTTAGTTGGACGATTTAAGAAGAAATTTAAAAAATAAAAGGAAAAATATAGGTAAAATGTGAGTAAAATATAACTATATTTCACTTAATTTCACACACTTTTTTTTTTTTTTTTTTACTTCTAAATTTCTTTCTAAATCCTCTAACCAAATATAAAATTAGGAAAAATGTTTGAGTCTGACAAATAACTTCCCATAGTTCGATCCCTAATAATTTGTCATATACTCAATTGTGTAAAATCTATCTCTTTTACCATATCATTATTATAAATTTAGTGATCCAAATTATGTCTCTTTAGCATTACTCACCGTAACTTTGACATTCACAACTCTCACTACAAAAATATTGACGCCCATCATAAAAAAATCACAAAAATTATTACTCTTTTTACACACATGGTAGCATTTCCTTTGCAGTATATCATTAAAATCGGGTTTTTTTATTCGAGGCTTACGTGACATATTGTAAGGACTTAGGGTAGCATTTGATTTGTATTTAGAATTATGACTTGAGTATGAAATTGTATTTTCATTTTATGAGTTATGGAATTATGATTTGAAAAGTAAAAATTTATTTGGTTATAAGTTTTGAATTATTATTTGAATTGAGTTTTGAATTTTTGAAATGAGTATTGAGTTTATGAGAAATTATTTGATTATGAGTTTTGAAAAGAATTTTAAAAAGTTAATTCAAAAACTTATAACTCATAACCAAACATACAACTTAAAACTCTATAAAAAAATTCTATTCGAAACCCATAACCAAACTCTTTTCAAAATTCAATTCAAAAAGTAATTATTGACTGTGAAAACCCATCTTTTAATTATTCTTTAAAGAAAATTTATTAATTAATTTTGTCTACAGTCTATCTGAATTATATATTAGTGTAAAAGTTAGTTTTAAATTGACTCAAATCAATCACTAACAAGACATTATTAAGAATAATAATTTTGTGAGTGTTCAATATTTGTTGTTTATAAATTATTTTAATTATGATTCAATATAATAACTATTCTTACTAAATAGCTTAGTTAAAAATCTTAGTGTGTCAATTTTCAGAAACCCACACAAAAAAAAAAAAATATAAACAAACAAACCATGGGCAAACAACCCACGGCTCCTACCAAACCCACCATCCTTTATAAAATTTAGGGAAGAACTTATGAAAATTAAAGAAAGTTTGCTCTTAGAAATTGGAGAAAGGGAATGGAATGTTTTTGAAGAAATAAAATAATGGAAAGAATGAGAGGGAGAGAGAGATGTCTTCAATATTTATATGCATGCAAGCCTTCCTTGTGCATGCAAGCATCCGGTGAGAAAGAGAAAAAAAAGAAAAAAGAAGAAGAGAGAAATCCCCAAAGCCACCAAGCTTGGTGTTAGGAGAGGAAGAAGAGTAGGAGATTAAAGAAGCCAAAATTCTCAACCATTTTGTCACTCTATTACTAAGTAAGAAAACCCTCTCAACCCTCTCATTTTGTTTTTATATAATTGAAAATTTTCAGATTACGTACATTTGATACATTGTCTGAAACTGTGTTGAGAATAATCTGTCTTGAATCTGCCAGCATGTTAACCGAATTTTTAGAAAATTTTATACTCAGAATTTCGAGATGATTTCTTCTACAAAGTTGTTGATAATGATGTCTAGTTTATCCAGAAATTTTTGGAAATAATTTTTGAGCTTTCTACGAATTTATACAAATTTTTAACTAAATCTGAAACTGTGTTGAGAATAATCTGTCTTGAATCTGCCAGCGTGTTACCCGAATTTTTAGAAATTTTTATACTCCAAATTTCGAGATGATTTCTTCTAAAAAGCTGTTGATAATGATGTCTAGTTTATCCAGAAATTTTTGGAAATAATTTTTGAGCTTTCTACGAATTTATACAAATTTTTAACTAAATCTGAAACTGTGTTGAGAATAATCTGTCTTAAATCTGCCAGCATATTACCCGAATTTTTAGACAATTTTATACTCAAAATTTCGAGATTATTTCTTCTACAAAGCTGTTGATAATGATGTCTAGTTTATCCAAAAAATTTTGGAAATAATATTTGAGCTTTCTACGAATTTATACAATTTTTTAACTAAATCTGAAACTGTGTTGAGAATAATCTGTCTTGAATCTGCTAGCATGTTACCCGAATTTTTAGACAATTTTATACTCAAAATTTAGAGATGATTTCTTCTACAAAGCTGTTTATAATGATGTCTAGTTTATGCAGAAATTTTTGGAAACAATTTTTGAGCTTTCTACGAATTTATACAAATTTTTGACTAAATCTGAAACTGTGTTGAGAATACTCTGTCTTGAATCTGCCAGCATGTTACCCGAATTT